ACTAATCTTTAATAGAAAGATTTTTTTTTCAGTAATTTTATACAGCAAGATTTTTTAAAGTTGTATATTATAGTTATAAGTTGAGGAAATCCGTGAATTTAACAGAATTGTGATGTGAAGTCGTAAAAAACAAGTTTTTGTGAGCTTACATCGCAACCGTTAGCTAAACCTTACGAGCTAAATCAAAATCATGTACCTACTACCGAATTGTATTTAATAAAAAGATCTACAAAAAGTTCGCGACGTTACATGTCTATCTCCAAAGGATAACCCACAGTAACTATTATCTCTTAAAAATTACAAATAAAATTGAATAATTCTAAACTATTTTCAAAATTCACTTTTATCAATTGAATATATCAGCTGCATACAGACTGAGCATTTAGTTACATTTAGTATGAGAATGACAAACCCAAAGGGTTTCATAACCATTTAGCAAGGTAGAACAAGGTATTATGTGGGCCGATCCCGGCGGCACTGCAATGCCGGGCCGACCCGTGACGGGAGTGGAGCGAGCCCCGAACATCCCGTCAGCTTACAAAAATCAGTTTAATATACTGGTCCCTCAGTGAGGGAACTTTCAGATATTAAGCTGAAAAGAACAGATTAAAACGTTTATTGAATAAAAAAACTTCCTGTCACAGACAGGTACATGTGCTTGTGTGTCAGTGCTACAAGCAGACATAGATGTATATACACATTCACAATATTTCTCTGGTTCATGATACAGATCAAAAGCATGTTACTAATTAAAGTTTAAGTCTTAATAATTTCTGCGAAACACTAAGCAATTGAACACTCATAGCATTTGGCTAAGCTTATCAAATTTACACGTTCTGAATTATATCGCAAGTGACGCACTATGAAGTTTTATTTCAATCTATTTAACGGCACTGCACAACTTTTAGCTACATTTTTATATTTTTTACTAGTTTATTAGTTTCTTGGTTGTCAGTAACAATAAATAAATAGCCAGTGGCATCACACACACACACACACTCGGCAATTCACCGGTCATTTCATTGGTCCACGCGATACTGCCGCACCCCGGACACATGCTCCACGTATATGTCGCGCGACCAGCGCACCACCTCGCTGATCATGAGGCGGCGCATCATGCCAGCATATCTTTTACTAATGCCCAGCAGTTTTATGACCGTCTCGTTGTGCGCGTCCCAACCCCCGAGAGCTCCCACCATAAATGTCTCGATACGGGTCGTGTAGCCCTGCTCCACAAGCTGCTCGGCCAACGGTGCGTATTTAGCCAGCTTTTCCCGGCGCGCTGCTCGGAAGGCCTCTGTCCTATTTTCAAATGGGACGCACACGTCCACGATGTTAATGCGCCTCGTGGTCTCGTCTCGCACGACAATATCGGGCCTCATTACTGCCGCCGCTCCATGTGCTCCGGTGACGGATCTGTTGATGGTGATGTTACCCACGCAGCGGGCAGCCCTCACCAGCCTGTTCTGGACGCCGTTGTGCCTCATCTGTCGTGCCGCCGCATGCGGCCCGCAGTGGTTGAGCACATGCGGAAGGGACTCCAGATCATCACCGCATCTGCGACAGCTTTTGTCTAAGCCTGGTATTCCGCGGACTGCGGCGTTCAGCGGGAGGACATTAAGCCTGGCTCTATGAATAAACCGCCAGTCGCAGAAGCGGATATTTCTGCCAGTCCGGAGAAAGTGGTTCGATGCTACGCTCCTTTTGGTAACCTCAAACACCTTGCCCTGATCGCGTTTGGCAAGGAGTTTTCCCGCATAGTGAGCTGACACGCCACGTCGCAACACATTGGCGACCCGCCGACTATCCTCCGGGAGCAGAGCCTCTCCGTCCCCGCCACATTTCAGCCCCAATGTTTCTTTGTCAGGGTGCCATTGCCAGCGTAGTCCTATTTTCTTTTTGAGATTGGTGGAGGCCACTCTCACTCTGGCCCAGAAGGACGTTCCGGCACCCGACGGGGGCAAGCCCGTGTCCCCAGAGAGGTAACGGGCGATGTCGTCACCACCCGCACTCCGCCCGAGCCTATCCGACGTTGTCCGCTTCAGCAATGCCTCCGTTAACGATCTCACTGCATGATCCCTGGCGTTGAGCAGCCGGTAGCTATGTGCCACAGTGAGGACGTCGTGAAGGTCGGCAAGCGGAAGCAGTCCACCACCTCCCCGTGAGGGCGGCAAGTAAACCAGCTCCGCACTTGCGCGCTGCGGTAGGTACAGCCATTCCTTAGCCAGCCTCCTGACCGCTCTATCCACCGCTGTGAGGTATTCCTTCTCCATAGTGGCTCCCTGCATTATGAAGTCGAGACGAGGCAGCAAAAATGTGCCGACCGCGTCAAGCTTCTGCCAGGGCGCAAGCAGTGAGTCACCGATCTTCTTGGCGTCCTCGAGTAGATCTCGCACTGTGCCGACTGGTGTCTGCCTAACCTGATAGCCCGTTGGTATGCCAAGATGCTCGTAGGCCTCTTCGTCGGCAAGCGCACGCATCGGTGTACCCTGTATATTGAACACGGTTGGGCGGGCGCCACCCCCTCGACCCCCCACGATGTGTATGGTGGCACACTTGCTGGGGTTGAACTCAATTCCCACCGCTCGCGCGCCCGACTCCGCAGCCTCCAATAGTCGCCTCATGCCCTCCGGCGAGTCCGCCAGCAGCGCTCCATCGTCGGCATAAAACAGGCTGTTGTAGCGCCTACCCTCGAGCACATAGCCCTCGTTCAGGCCCGCCAGTCCCCTCAATAATACCTCAATGGTTAGATTGAATATGTCCGGACTAAGGGGGCAGCCCTGTCTCACCCCCGACTCGATGTGTATGGGCGCTGTGCTGCCACTTGCCACTCTAACACTGGTTGTCATGTTAGAGTATAGTGAGGCGATGACGTGTCTCACTCTAAGTGGAAGTCCGTGGCCCTCCAGAGCCCGGCGGATGGAGGAATGAGGGATGGAGTCAAAGGCGCTGGTGAGATCCAGCCACGCCACCACCAGCTCTCCGCCTCGGCGCCTAACATCTCGGATCGCCTCTTGTAGCACGAAGTTGTGCTCGAAGCAGCCCTCGAAGCTTAGGAACCCCTTCTGTGAGCTGCTAAATCTGCCGTTGGCTGTGCCCCAACTCTTCAGCCTGGTCGACAGAATCGCAGCGAAGAGCTTCGGTACCGTGTTACCCAGGGAGATCGGCCTCCAGTTATTAATCTGGTCGACGTCGCCTTTCTTGTGAAGCAAGATGGTGTTTGCTGCGCCCCATGTCGACGGAGCAGCTTCTATTCGCCACACTGCGTTGAATAGTGCTGTCAGAACTCGGCTCTCAGGGTCCGCCCTCCGAAGATCGGAGTATTTTATCCCATCCGGCCCGGGCGAGGTGTCCGTCCGGCGCTTGAGGCAATCCGTGATTTCTCCCTCCGTAAACGGCGCACACAGTCGGTCGTCGCTCTCTGGCATCGGGTCCGCCTGCACGAGTACCGGGGGCCAACTATCCTCACCGTCCCTGGGCGCCGCCAGCCGATGGAAGTGGTTTTCCACCGTGCGCAGATCGATATTGCAGATGTTGTTGTCCCCTGCTAGGATTCTCTGCACGGCTGTTTTCCGCTTGTTGCGGTAGAGACGCTGTATGTGCTTTGCCGCCTGTATGCGTTCACCCTCATCACGTGGGCCTGCTCTCGTACGTGCAGCTGTCGTGCGCCGACCAGGGCTCCCCCCGACGCCGCCGACCCTGGCAAACCTTCCCAGAAAAGCAACCACCCCCGGCATGACCACCTCCAGCTGCTCTAAGTCGTGGATGTTATTTATCTCCGCAGCTAGGGCTCGTTGCCCGGCCGTGCACGAGCGTTCGGTTGCTCCTCTTTCCATATCCTCAGCGGCGATATGCGCGGCATCGCCATGTCCCACCCGCCGCGGTCTCGCCGGCGTGCTCGGTGCTCTCGCGGCATCATCACTCTCCGCCCGCCGCGGACTAGCCAGCCTGTCAACGACTCGCGCAGCTGCACTGTTATTATCTTGTTGCATCGCCGTATCCTCGGCCGTCGGCGCAGAGAACGGCGTTGACCCCGAGGAGCCATCCTCCCGAGCAGGCGGGGCCGCGGCACCAGTACCCGGTCCCGTCCGCGGCAACGTCAAGCTAGCCGTCGCCTCGTGTTCCCCCAAATGGCGATCCAAGGGTTCAGTCACAGAAGATGAGGATTCAATTATACTTACGGCGTGTCGCCGCGACGCAACCCGATCGCGCTCCGGGACGGGATCGTGGCCGGCATTATGTCTGCGTAATTGCCTCTGTCGCCGTTGCCCTGCGGCCCCGCCGTCGGCCATCGGGGCGGGGGCGGGCGCAGGGAACAGCTCCTGCCGGATATTATTCCGCCTCGCCACATCCACCCGCCCCGTCCGCACTTGCTGGATCTGGGGCACACACTCCACACAATGCTGCGACACGATTTTACGCGGGTATCTTTTACCAACCGGCGCCGTGAATCCGCAGCTCCAGCACGCGTATACTACTGTCGTTCCGTCGTGGTGTTGCTTAACGTGCCGGTTAAAGTTTTCAATTTTCGTCGCCCCGCGGTAACGCGCGTCCATACAAATCGGGCACCTCGCAAGCTCCTCGTTTTTAATGGGTAGAAGGATTGTCACTGTGCTACCGTTCAACACGATCTTATCAATCGGTTCCGCAGCCATCGCTCCAAAGTTGCTAATTTAACGATGACGACGCGAAACACTATATATTACGATACATGTTAAACTACTACACTTTGATCTTAGCCAAAAGGCCGAGAAGCGATCGAGCGATAATTATATTCTTGTAAAAGGGAGCCATGCCACGTCCTTAAATGTGTATTTACTAAGCTTATTAAAATAAGATTAATTAGTAATTTCACTGAATACTTTAAAAAAGTACATATATGTAAGACTGCCAAGTTACTGTGATCTCAGAAAGTGCCAATAATAGAATTAAGTCGTTGTTTTTAATTGTAAGATGTACGAGGTAATTTCGTTTCAAAATGTTACTTTAATAAATTCCGTTTTAATACACACATAAAAATTGATTGTTTTATTAGTGTATACAATATTTACAAATGTAATTATTATAATATCAGTCGGTTTATCCATACATTGACAGCTGAAAGTTGGCATATTTGCACTCGGTGCCGTAAACGCACAGAAAATTAGTACTTTGAGTTTCTTACCATAAGAGCCCTAAATGTCAACGTTACGGCGGTTATGCTTATCATTACTTATACTCAGTACTCATTTTTCGCTGTCAAAAGCGCCATAAAATAAGTTCCATAGTATAAGCGCACTATCTGTGTTACTTACGACGCTTATTATAAGTATTTGTTTTAAAACATACGTCGCATTTCCTTGTCATATCACATTTTTATATCTTTTTTATTATCAATTTATTACTTAAAGTTCTTAAATAGCAATGAATACAAAATACCACCTTTTAACTACGGTAAGAATACAACAAATTTTAAATAAACAATATTTTTATATCCATAATCGAAGAATTAATTTTTAAAACTTTAGGCGCCATTTTCTAGGAACTTGCTGTCATGCACTTGTCGCTCTTATCTTTAGCACGGCAGTATATATGTGGTGTTAATCTTTACATACTTAGTATAAAATGAAGTCGCTTTTTTCCTCGGACGCTTAGATCTTTCATACTACGCAACGGATTTTTTTTTTTTACACAGGTTTATATTTATATAATACATGTATATTATAGTTATAAGTTGAGGAAATCCGTGAATTTAACAGAATTGTGATGTGAAGTCGTAAAAAACAAGTTTTTGTGAGCTTACATCGCAACCGTTAGCTAAACCTTACGAGCTAAATCAAAATCATGTACCTACTACCGAATTGTATTTAATAAAAAGATCTACAAAAAGTTCGCGACGTTACATGTCTATCTCCAAAGGATAACCCACAGTAACTATTATCTCTTAAAAATTACAAATAAAATTGAATAATTCTAAACTATTTTCAAAATTCACTTTTATCAATTGAATATATCAGCTGCATACAGACTGAGCATTTAGTTACATTTAGTATGAGAATGACAAACCCAAAGGGTTTCATAACCATTTAGCAAGGTAGAACAAGGTATTATGTGGGCCGATCCCGGCGGCACTGCAATGCCGGGCCGACCCGTGACGGGAGTGGAGCGAGCCCCGAACATCCCGTCAGCTTACAAAAATCAGTTTAATATACTGGTCCCTCAGTGAGGGAACTTTCAGATATTAAGCTGAAAAGAACAGATACTACACTTTGATCTTAGCCAAAAGGCCGAGAAGCGATAACAAAACTAAATCCAACGAGGGAAGTCATTCACTGGCTGAGAATCTTAACACCGCAATACATAGATGACGTCATATATACAGCGACATCTATTGAGTAACATGATGAACTAATGAGTGAAATGACTACTATTTCACCCTTTGGAAATTTACAGACACACCTGGCCTACATATTCCTGACACATTTAATAACAATAGTAGAATATGTTCAGAAGAAAATAATAACTTTGGATAGGATTTGGCAATGCTTAATACAAAGCTAATCAAGATAAAAGTATTTGTAAATAAGGCGATGAGGACAATGTTATTTGTATTTATTTGGAAAAGGTACTTTATAAGTAATGTAACACTTAGGCTATTTAATATAATGAATTCTGGAAAAAGTACAATACGACAATTTTTTAGAATAATTTACAAACTGCCTAATATGGGACGGAACTTGCGTCAACACCTCCAGAGGTGGCTGGCGGCTAGTGTTGACGCAAGTACTTAGTAAGTACTTGTGGATTAGAAAGGTTAAGACTGGCTTGCTGTTGTTTCCAATAATTTTGGTTTCATAGTGTCGATTTTTGTTTTGAAAACCAGGACCGGAACGCCGCCGCCTTTAATTGAGATTGAGACCCGTGAGTCTATACAGTTGGTTTAGTGCTAGCCACAACTGCCATCACGCATTCAGCCATATATTTAGAGGACTGAATAATAAGTTGTGAAATGTATTTTATGTTCTTTGTTGGATAAATTTATCTGGATCAATTTAAACTGAATACTAAACATGATTTAATTTAATCTTTGAATCATGAAAAAACATATGGCTGCCATGGTTTCGATACATATGAGACAAAAATGTAAAATTTGTTATACATATGCGCACATAATACCTATTTACAGTGACCGGGAATTTGAATCTTCGCTCCTTGACATTGCACAGGGCCTCAGAGTTCGTTATAAGGCGCACATGGACCTTCATCTCATCATGGTTATTTTATAATCCATCGTCATTTAAGCCATACTAAGTCCAACGTTGAACATAGCTTTCTGTCAAAATTCCAAGAAGACCGAGTGGAAGCAGTTTGCATTCACCTGCGAACTTTAAGATCGTCGATGGTCATCGATCCTTGGACGTTTCATGCTGGTCTCATCGATTCGACTGCTGTTTCAGTCACACACATTCATTACATCATTTGTTTTGAGTCCCTAATTTTGTTCAACTGCAATTTATATATAAAGAGTGAATCCAGCCTAACATCCTGAAGTATTTGCTACAAGAATAAGGAAACAAGGCCGTTGTTTCTAGTAGTTGCACAAGCTCTATGAATTTTTAAGCCTACAAAAGTACCTAAAAACGGAAATACCGAACTTGAGACGTTAGAAATTCGTTCCGACTATTCAATTAAAATAAAATCAACATATAAATGAACCGTTTACAATTGGTCACACTCCCATAAGTTTAAACAATACGGCTTTTTGACCTTCGTTTCGTCTTAGTGGCCAAAGTTCTAAGAAGCGATTCAAAGTAGAAAACTTTTTGTTGCCGCAACCGGCAACTATTAGTGGCAAAGCAATTCTATTGCTTTTTTTATACATTTATACACGTTGAAGGTTAACATTACTTTTTATATGTACATGTACGTCTTACTAAATGTTATTCTAACTTTTTACCTTTCGCACTCAAGGTCAGCTTGCGAAAGTTTTCAATAGCCGTCCGCTTACATAAAAGATAATAGGCATAATAATAAATAAAAATAATAAATAACTTTTAGGCATAATTCTGATACAAATATATGATTTTAATTAGGTATCAGATTTTAAGCCAATTTAAACAGACTAACAAAACATAAAAACTAGTGATCTGCCTCCAAGTATTGTCGGAGGACTATCCCTAAGCGTATAAAGTCGCTCATGCCTCTTAATTCCTCATAATAAAATTAATAACAATATACTTTCCACACTCTAAAAAAATTCGGTCACTGTGTAACAAAAAGTGTTCAGTTATGGAGCGCCTCTTAATGAACAGTTGAGTGTACCGCCTAACTGTCGCAATGCTATTGTCTGTTTTACGTCTGGTGTAAGCACCAATTTTTACTACAATAGCAGGTAACTATATAAGTTTACTGATATATATTACAACTAGCTGGTACCCGCGACTTCGTTTGCGTGGAATTTGAATTGAAAATGTTAGCGTGCCTCGGGATCGATTCCTGGACCGGTCAAACTTTTACAAAATTTTCTGACAGGAAAAATAGCTTTAGTTACTCCTTATATAGACAGCTACCTGGTAGTAAGATATTATCAAAATCGGTCCAACCGTTTTGAAGATTACCCGGCACAAAATATAAAAAAAAAATATACTTATATTTAAACTGGTTTTTAGGCATAGCTATCGTGCAAATAACCGTGTAAGCATCCCAAAACCTATTGTTTTGATATTAAACACAGACACTTCAATTTTATTTATTTGTATGGTAGCACCAAATTTGTTCAAAGTAAAATAATTTCATATCCCTACCATTAAATTGGCAATATTGAAAGTAATTGGTTTATTATGTTAATGTAGTTACTAAAGGGTATTTCGCAACCAATTGAACAAACAACATAATTAAAACGATGAAAAGGCCTTAGACAATTTATAAGTCTAAATGGAGTGCAGCAAAACGACTAAAACAAACTGGTTAACTTTATTATACAGGTGTGCGCGAAAGTCTATATTGGTGTGTGTGGAAATCGAGCTTTCATAGTGATTCACTGACACACGTAGGGAAAGCGGGAAGGTACTTAGTGGTCAACTATTGGACACTATCTTTCCGAAATATTACCTAGCCTACCTATCAATCCAGCGTCTACTTACGCGAGAAACATGAAAGATTATGTTGCCAGATTCTTATGGCAGAGTCACAGTCAGCCATACCTTCTTATGACCCTGAATGTCATCACCAGTTGCGCGGGTTGAAGTCCGTCAGAGACCTTGCCATATATATTTGACGGGCCTGTTGGTCTAGTGGTTAGTGATCCTGACTGTTAAGCCGCAGGTCGTGGGTTCGATTCCCACCCAGGACAAATATTGTGTGATGAGCACGGTCATTTGTTCTATGTCTGGGTGTAATTTATCTATAATATGTATGTATTTGAATATATATGAGTATGTTTATAAGCAGTCTGGTTACCATAGTACAGGCTCTGCCTAGTTTGGGATCAGACGGCCGTGTGTGTGTGTGATGTATTAATATATATATATATATATAGGGTTAGGATAACAGTTTTAAGACGTTTAAATAAAATAACATACATTCAATGAATTATTTATTGAATATGAAGAATAATTTTCATTTTTACAAAAATATTATTGTATAATTTGTTTGTACAGATCAAAGCCTCATCAAT